AGGCGGATTTGGCCTTGCTGCGCAATCAGTGTGGGATTTTTTCAGTTTGAATTGTTCATTTTGTACTTTACGGGATAACCATTGGTATTGCTTTCAGATTATCGCATATGACAGAAGAAAAAAATATCTTGGAGGAGGAAAATAAAAACGAGAGGGATTTTGCTACACTGGCAAAGCATCGGTACGACGAGCTGAAGAAGAAATTTGAGCGGTAATTAATAATTTCCGAGGCAGCACTGGCACTGTGTTTGTTTGGGAGAATTCGGAAAAATGTTTGAAAATTTCCCGCCAGTTGGGATGCGAGTTCGGGCACGTATTTATATAAGTTGTTGTCGTTACATTTCTTTATGAACTGCGAAGCTTTGCAGAACTTCCGCTGCCTTTGTTGAAAAGAACAAAGAATGTGTGCAGCTGGTCAACGAAATGAAGATTTTAAAGAGGGAACTGGCCAACAAGGAATCCGAAAACAATGGTTTTTGTATTCAGATTTTAAACAAAAGACTGGATCAGTAAAATGTGACTGTAGGCATGCCTCACTGCAAAATTACCAAAACCACACGGATAACCAGTGCAGGATTCTTCGGCTGATATCTTGTTTGCAAGTATTACAGGAAATCCCTGAAAAAGGGGAAGGGAAGAAAAACCTCTGTTTGATTGCACTGGCCCAGGAGCGTCTATGCCTTCACATATGAATTTCTTACCAAAAATTGTTCTAAACTTTATTATGTTATTTGGTGTTTTGCAGAAATTGCTGAAAATTTGAAGCGTGCTGAAAAAAAAATTGAAGATATTGAGAACGTAAGGAGCTCAGAAACGAAGTGTTTGCAAGATTCGGTATGTTTGTCACACTTATTTTGCAGTTTTTTGGCATTTTCTTTCCAGAATTTGTTAAAAGCACCACAACCGCAGTGGATGATACTCGCAAAAAAAGCGCCTTGGAAAACGTAAGTTGTAATACACTGAGCAAGTTGTAATTACTAACTGAGGGCATGTAGAACAGGACCAGAAGACCTGATTTAACTGACTGTGGCGTATGTGCAAATCCCAGTAATATTATTAAGATGCAGTCGCGCAATTTCCCCAAATTATAATCAGAGACGCGCAAAATGCTCCCCGTCTTACTTCGCTCTAACCAGTAGCCTCTTTAGACATGCAGTGTCTGGCCTGAAATTATGGTATATGTTTACTTCGTGGTCAGAGGGATGGCTGTTAGTTTCTCCCATGTCAACAACATCTATAAGCAAGAGAGTTTTTGATGTTTTTGAAATTCTCTCACCCATTGTACTGGTGAGATGAAACATTTAAGATTGATATGCATTTCTGATTCTGTTTTAGAGCTGGCTACAAATCCATTCTTTTTCGGTTCAAGCGCGAATTTATTAGCTTACATTTTACTATTTGTGCGAGGACTAGAAACAAGTCGTTAAAGGCTTCTGAAGTTTGAAGTGCACACGGGTTGGGTTTAAGAAAACTAAGTCGGCAGATCCACTGTACGGCGAATCATAGCAGCATGATTACCTCGCATTAGGATACTGTTGATGTTATCTCAGTTGTATTGGATAGTTTCACTCATTTTAAGTGAATTTTTCTGTTTTTTCACTTATTAATCGTGGTCGGTCATCTGTCCCAAATGGGATAGCTTTCGGTGTATCAGTGGACTAGTTTATTAA